TATAATATCTGTCCCTTTCTGTCAGCAAAAAAAGGAACATTTTTTTTGAAACTCCAAAACAAATAATATCCGTGTAGAATAAAGGCAGAATTTTGGTTGTTTTTAAAATTCAGAACACAGATGAAATCAAAGTATGCAATGGTCTCTATATTCACATATTTCAAGTCTTTCTTCTTTTACATGAATTCATCTGAATCGTTGCCATCCTATAGGAAACAAAAATGAGAAACTGAAAAAGCCTTGAAGATAAATAAACTTAACACTTTGAATTTAAATTATAATCTTAACTGATAAGTCTGTTTCTCATCCCTCATTCTCAGGGTTCAGAAAGTAAAAAGCAAAAGAGCCAAATTCACTCCTGGCGTCTTGTCCGTCTTTATTGGTTCTCTGGAACAGCTGGCTTAGCAGGTACCACTGCACAGCCTGTCATGCCGAGTTACCATGGTTCCCAAACCATGACACACAGCCCATGTGATGCAGCACAGAGTGCCACAAATAGGACTAGAAGAAAACATGATTTTTCATAATAGCAGCTACAATTTACTAACAGCATGAAGCCCATATTTTTTTAAAAAGCCAAATAACCATGAGATGGTGGATGTCAATCTGTTTTACTACAGTAACTTTTACTATCTATATGCACCCTATAACATCATGTTATATACCTTAAATGGACATAATAAATATTTTTTAAAAAGGAACGATTGCTCCTTAAATAAACATAGCAAACACACACTGCCTCAATACTTTTATGCCAACAGCTGGACTAAATTCTGGTATGGTGTACCTCAAGACTGTCAAGGGTTTGGTTTGGTTTGGTTTTACGGTACTGAGGATCGAACCCAGCACCTCATGCATGCCAGGTAAGTGCTCTACCACTGAGCCACATCCCAGCCCTCAAAGTTGTCAGACTTCGCATGATGGCCTTATTTTCTCCCTTCCTCCCTTCCTTTCCTTCCTTGAAAAGTCCTTAGAAAGCCAAATATAAGGTATTTACCAAACTGGCCAGATTGATTAAAAGGAAACCTTCCATGACGGCAGAGAGAGTAAAGGCACTAGTTTTGTTCTATGGCTCACAAGTGAGTCCCAAAGATGTGGACCCCAGGCTCCTCCTCTGCCATATTCAGCAACAGTTCCCTCAGTGCCCTGGTACACTGGCTTGAGATTGTCACCATCTTGACACTGGTGCTGTTAGAGATGGTGACAGGACTTAGGCTTACATGTGCTCCTCTCTTTCCTGACAGCCTCTGTTAGGGACGGAGGGAAAACTGCCAGCCAGAGGCAGGTAGAAAACAGTGGCGATTCCAGGATGTCTGGGTTCATCCCCGGCTTTGTTCAGTGGCTGGCTCTGTGCTTCTCTTCCATTAGCACAAGGAACAGTGGCCACAGTACAGGTGCCTCAGGTAACTGCAAGAAGCAGACAGCTTGTATTCTGTCCAGGCACCAGGCTGGCTGAGCCAGAGTCAACTCAAGTAATAGCATCACCACTGTCTGAAGCATCACCATACATCTCCAAGCACCAGCTTCCTGCCCCAGTCACTCAGGATGAGCAACTCTTGGGCTGGTGACAGTGACACTGAAAGCATTACTCCCTACAGAGGCTCTGTGTGAGATCAGCAGAGTTTCTGCTTGCCTGAGGGCCTACGCTCTGGGGGATCAAAGAAACTTTTAACTACTTATCTGAGACCTGAGACTATTTGGACAACTTTTCTGTTTTAGGTTCCTTTTAACTTCGAGTCAATGTGCTTTTCAATTTAACAAAAAGGTTTCTTATTACTCTGTGATAAACTGATAAACCAAAGGAATTTTATAAGTGATTGTTTATGACTCCTAATAACAAATTTAGAAAGATTAAATTATAGATTGAAGACATAATCCTAAATAGAAGACTGATAATTCAAAGTTAAAACCAACTTCACAGTGAAAATATTCCTCCTGATAAACTTGTAAACGAGCCAATCAAGTCTTATCTTTTATAAACAGCCTTTAAATGAAAATTAACTGACCTTGCTGTCAAATTAAAGCATAAAGCCTGTATCTCCTAACAGAAGATGGTTACAAGAAGAATTAAAGCCTTTCCTTTTGAACTGGGGGTAAAGGGAGATATACAGGTCTATCCACTGAAAGGGAAATAAAAATACCCAATGTAAAGCTTCCTTGGGAACAAACCTGATTCAAACCTAGAGCTCAGGTACACAGCAAAGGAGGGCGAGGAGGGCAGCAGGGCCAGTAATCTTTGGCCTGAAAATTAATTTCCTAGTTCCGGAACTATTATTACTAATCAGATGGTGTTTCAATAAGTACAGTATACAGTTAGACCTCTGTATCTGTGGATTCAACTAAATGGAGATGGAAAATATTCTTTTAAAAAATCTGTACTGAACACGTGCATGTATATTTTCTTGTCATTATTTCTTCAACAGTGCAGTACAACTACTTACAGAGCGTTTACACTATTAGGTGTAAGTAACCTAGAGATGTTTTAAAGTATATGCGAAGACGTGTGTGGGTCAGATGCCAATACTTTGCCGTAGTGTAAGGGACATGAGCATCCGGATTTTGGTAACAGTGGGGGCTTTGGAATCAATGTCTCACATTTTAAAAATTCATGATAATTGGGAATGAGCATGTCCAAGGTCATAACATAATATAGAGGCCAGATTTTTGGTAAAAAAGAAAAAAAAAAAGAGCTTCTAAATGATAGAAAATTTCAGGCCAGGCGAGGTGGTGCATGCCTGTAATCTCACCACTTGGGAGGCTGAGGCACAAGGATCACTGTGAGTTCGAGGCCAGCCTGGGCTACATAGTAAGACCCTGTCTCAAAAAACCAATAAATAAGTGAAAGAAAGAAAATTTCATTAAGTGACAATAACCACAGCACAGACTGTAGTACTGGACTTAATTTAGTTTTACATTTGATTTGAAATATGTTAAAGACTTCTGCCAAACTGACCTGAGTTTCAAGAAGTCTAAGAATATCTTCCAGAAAAGAATATTTCTCATCTTTTGATACTGGTATTTTGTGGGGAAGTAACAACTTTAGACTAATCATGACTACAATAACTGGAAAGTCTGGAAAGATTTACAAATATGTGTCCTTGTTTACATTTTAAAACAGCCCCATGAAGTAACATCTCCACTTTGCTGATGAGGAAAACTGCTTGAGAGGCTAAACAGCTTGGTTAGATTTAGTACCTCACAGAAGTGGGAATAAGGACACTATTTTTAAACATTTTTGGAAGAATATTAGATCTAAACAATGTCTAAAATCTTATTAATTCCAATTTATGCACTAAGCGTGGTGTTCACCGGATGACCTTTAAGGGAAGCAGAGCTGCTTAACAGAACTTTCTGGAGGAATAGAAAAATTCTACGTCTGTCCTGATATGGTAGCTACTAGCCACACAGAGCTGGTATGACAGGAACACAAATTTTAATGGGGTTTTATTTACATTTAAACAGCACATGCAGTTAGTGGCTCGCATATGGTATGTCACTAAAGTATGTACTTTAAAACTATATAAGAAAGCCTGCAGTCTTCAAAATATATCCACACGGTTTCAATTTTCCATAAGGTCTGTTCAGTAACAGGTGAATTATGCTCCCTCTGACAGTGAGGTGCGACTCACTGAAATGATCAGATGTGGACGTTCAAAAGATCCCTTCAGCACTAGGCCATGGCTCACCATTTCCCTGGTCCCCGGGAAGACGAAAACAGCCAGTGTTGTCATTTAGGCTACAGTTTAAAATCTCAGGGTTTGTACTTTTACTTCCTTTTCAATTGAAGGTGATAATTTTATTCCTGCTTGATTACTCTGTAGAACTGAGTCACACCAAAACAGAAGATTGACAAATCAAGGCACTTTTACAGGCCTGAGAACAGAAAAAATGGGATGGGTGGGGGAGATGGGAAAAGTCCTGTGCTAAAAGTCAGGATCTGGAATGGCCCCCACAGAGGCTCAGGTGCTGCAGGTGTGGTTCGAAGCCCATGGTACTACTGGTGGAACTTTTAAGAGGCAGGGCTCATTGGCAGAAGCTACACTGGGGACCCCAGCCCCTTCCTGTCTTTCTTATTTCCTGGCTGCCATGAGGTGAGCAGCTTGCTCCGCCACCTGCTCCCACCTGAGACGCTGCCTTGCACTGGCCCAAAAGCAGTGAGGCCAAATGACCATGAACTGAAACCTCCAAAGGGTGACTCAAACTAAACTTTGCCTTTTTAAAGTTAATTATCTCAGGTATTTTGTATAGCATTGGAAGGCCAGCACATCCTGTATACTAATGGGCCTGTATTTCACAGTAAACAAGGCGTGACAATGTCTTTCCAAAAGTGACCGATACATGAGAAAGTCTGTAGGGAAGGTGGGGCAATGCCTAACAGAATCCAGCCTGAGTAGAGCACAACAGTTGGCATTCACAATGCCATTACAGCCAGTAACTCAATTATTAAAAATGTGGGCCAGGGATTTAGCTCAGTGGTTCTGCCACCTGCCTCGCAAGTGCAAGGTCCCAAGTATGATCCTCGGTACCAAAGGAGGGAAAAATGCTTAATGAATAACTTCAAGGCACAACATTCAAGCAAATAATCTTGAACACACCTGATTTGAAGACATATTTTCAGCTTTCATTAGTGATGAATAGCTCCTAGGGGAAAAGAAAACATTTAAAATAAGGTTATTCAGTCAACTGGCATTTCATGAACACTCACTACCTAGACTGAAGGATCAATGGGCCAGAAATCCCACCTATGTGAAAGCAAAAATTTACCTTTCCTTAAGCCACATGTTTTCTGAGTTCCACTCATTAATCCAACTGCCTCTATGACATCTTTTTAGCTGTCTCAAAGGTATTTTCAGATTTCTACACCTAATGAATGAGCTGTCCCTTGCCAATTTGATTCTTGTCCTGTCACTCCCTAGCTCAAAGAATGACGCTGTCCGTTCCACTTCAAACCAGAAACCCAGGAGTCCTTTTCAGCCCTCCCCTCAATTCCTATCATTTTACCCACGAATGCAGCTCTCATTGGCCTACTCTTCACTGCCATGACACCACCACAGTCCCAGCTACCATCACGTGTGGACAGTTGCCAGTCCCTCCTTAGCCGCCCACACCCACGCCGGTGCCCTTTGCAGTGACCTCCCCAAACTCAGTCCTCATGGTATTACCCTCCTGCTGGAAACCTTTGGGTGGTGTCGAGGTGTTCTTGGTACAAAGACGAACGGGACTGAAAAGGCCCCATGTGGACTGGCCCCTTCATCCATCCTCCTTTCACGCCTGATGACCCAGACATTCAGGGTTTTGGTCCTGTGTTTTACCTTGCTGCTTCCCATGAAGCATCTTTGCACACAGCTGCCTCTGCTTACAGCACTTCTGGGCCTTTTCAACTAGCTAGAGGAGTTCTGAGCTCAACTTCAAGAACCACAGCATTAGGGAAGCTGAGCTCGGTTACTCGTTCATTCATGACACACTGGCAATTCATTCTGCAGACATGCAAAGGACTGCCGCTTACACGGGGGTGCAACGCCGCACAAGTGCTTCTTTGGAGGCACCTGTAATTAACACAGCACTTCTGCTGAAGGCAGCAGCAGTGTGTGTGAGGTCAAGAAAAGGAGGGGCAGCCAAAGCATTTTCTTCAAGAGAAGGGGTAATTCTTTTAATCAATGACCTCACAGTTACCTCTTTTATATGTGGTTACTAAATTTACCCCACAAGTTCATTCCCACCCAATGTTACATAAAACCTATAAAGGCGCCCTCATTACTTACGTGAAATTTGGACCTAATTAAAACCTTTTAAACTACTGTACAATATAATTTTTCATTCTTTTATTTGCCTACATATAACCTTGCCAACCTTTTCATTCCTTGCCTCAAAGGCAGCATTGTACAGTAAGGATTGCAAAATTATAGCCTTGAGTTTGGATTCCCACTTTATCACTTATCAGCACAAACGGTCCCCACATAAATCTCCTCGCTGAAGTGACTGATATCGGCCTCGAAATCCTCCCCCTCAGTCTGCATACACTTATCCCATTGTTCTCATCACTGTCTGAAGCCGTTTTGGAAGTCCCCTTTCATGAATATCTTCGGTTGCACTGTCCTGGCTGCCTCCACATCCTGAATCAGTTCAAAACATTTACTTCTCGTGGTCATTTTGACTTTGGGGAAGGAGCAGAAGTCACGTAGTACCAGATTCCGTGAACGTGGCGGGTAAGGACACAACAATGTTTTTATCTCAGACATTGCCATACACATTCTGAATCAATTCATGACACTAGGGAGCTACGATGGCCCAACTAAAGCCCCTCAGGAAAGAGGACTTCCAGAACTGCCTCAGAAAGTGGCAAGAAAGATGAGATGAATATATTTGAGGCTAGGGGAGCATTTGAAGGAAGATTCATGGCAATGTGTTTTTTACTGTGATACATTTTTTTGAAACACATTTTTAAACTCACACTTTGTATAAAAACAGATGATAAATCCAAAGTTTAGCGCCTACTGCTGGAATTTCATCACAAACGCTGCAGGATATAACATGCAAATTACAGCTCTGGACATAGCAAGCAAACCCTTGATCTGTCACCACACCCATTCCTACAGGACGGCCTGCATCACGCTCTTCTAGTCTGCGGCAAGTGACAGAAAGCTATCTGTGCGGCAAGTATTAACAGCTACAAACAGAAACTGCTTTTGGTTTTCTGAGCCCTACAACGACTACTAAAAAAATACAAGTGACTAGTGACAGCTGAGAAACTGGAATGGTTAAACAAACTCCTGAAGCAAAGATTTCACCCAATAAAGCCTGGTAATTTCCCCCCTGGATTCAGATGAGTATTTTAAATGTTGCTGATACTATGAAAGAAAGTCCAGAAGGTATAGAAAGTCTTTCAGTTGATGGGTCTTGTTGACTGCAGCGCTTACCACGGTTTTTTTTGTTTGCTTCGATTTTGGTACTGGGGATCAAACTCGCGACCCTTGCACTTCTGAGGCAGGCAGTGGAACCACTGAGCTAAATCCCTGGCCTGCAATTTTTAAAACTAGTAAAATCATACTAAATGCAATATATTTTATTAATATATATCTGAATTCAAGACATAAAACGTAGTGTTTCTTTTCAGGTAAATTATAACATCTATAAATTCCTTGGTTATACTGAACAAGTACTACTTTGAAACTGGATTGAACAGACGGTAGGAGAGTGCAGAGAAGTGGACTCAAGTGTGGACTCGAGAATCAGACTGTGATATACCTGCTTCTCAAATTAGTCCTTCTTCCGCAAGGTGCAGACAACAAAAATATCCACTCGAGAAATAACACAATGAAACACTTTTAATATAGTGTCTGACAGGTGTTAAATTTTCAAAAATTTAGCTATTCTCCCTTAGTAAATCTTACAGGTAGATAAGTGCGGTTATGTTTCTAACATCTAACATTCGTGTCTCTAAAAAAAAATTATCGATCTGTACAGGGTACAAAAAGGCATGTTTTCAATTTTCCCCTAACTCTAAACTATGACCAAAACAGAATGAAATCCTCTAAATCAAGCATCACTCAGAATTTACAAACTTCACCACACTATCAGAGCTGATAATTTTTCTTTTATTCACACAATCCTAGGCCACAGCATACATTTAAGTCTACACATCAGTCTGTGTCTTGCTAGCAGACTTGTTGACTCGGGATAATGCTTTTATCCAAATGAAGTTAATCATTCTGCTTTAGCAGGATCCCCAACATGCGAATAACCAAAGGAAAAAGCACATGATCATAATACCTACATTTGGACCCAACAGCCTTTCTAAGATTTAAGGGTATTCCAAGGAAACTAGGTCAGGACAAAGCAAGACTTACCATTTCCAAAGGCAATATATGTTATTTACACCTTTATTTTGGTATACTTATAACAAATGATATCTATGAAAAACCATGGGGAAAACTACGACTAGAAGTCACGGGAATAATTTCTTTTCATTAAGAAAAATGAAGGGCCTGATGAGAGACAGCAGTACGTATTTACGCAGAGTCAGTGAAGTGGCTGAATGATGCCCCCTCCCACCCTACTCCAGAATGTCCACACTGTCATCTCTAATCCTCTCAATCTTTTACCTTATGGGGACAAAAGAGACTCCGAGGGCGCAGTTAAACTAAAGACTTTACAAGAGCAAGATTATCCCGGATTATCTGGATGATCCAATCTAGTCCCACTGTTCCTCAAAAGCAGAGCTTTTGTGGTTCGAGAGGGGGCAGAGCCTAAGGCCTTGAGAGAGTACAAGGGGCCATGAACCATGCCTGGACTTTGGGAAGCCTCAGAAGCTGGAAAAAAGATTCTTTCTGGAACCCCCAGAAAGGAACAGAGTTCTGTAGCACCTTGATTTTAGACCAGTGGGAGATTTGCTGAACTTCTAATCTACAGGACCAGAAGATAATAAATTTCTGTTGTTTTAATCAAATAAATGTGTGGCAGTTTGTTAGAGAAGCAGTAGAAAACTTGTATCATCTGTACCTCATAACTTTTTTTGCTAGTATTTTAGGAGCCAAATTGGATTTTAATTATTGTTCCAAAATATAGGGCAACGGGAGCAGATGTCCATTACTTTAAACTTTCAAGATGTAGAACGAGTTTTAAAAACAGCCCTGAGACTGACTAGTGTTGGCCACTCCAGCCAAGATGACTACATTTAAGCTGCACAGCTGAGCACGCGCAAGGCCCTGGGTTCTCCCCAGCACCACAGCAAACAGAACCACCATCATACAACCACTTATCATAGCACCTTTTCCTTTCTGAAGAACTTTTATAAGTCAAACTCTAAAGAAAAGCCACCATGGTTTGTCTAAAACAATCAGTTGTTTTGTTTCATAAATCCTCACATCCTGTCTCTATAAAGTGAACGGCACATGAATACAAATGCCTTGACTCATTCAAGGCGCTGGGCCTGTTACAGTGCCCTCCCAGTCTGATGTCATTCTTGGGGTTAATTCATGATTAAAACCAGCAGGGAACAATCTCAGAAGCCAACTCAGTGGCACAGCTCCAACATACCTAAGCTCATCCATTTCCTTCTTCTTCTTCATTTCTTCTTTTTCTCTCCTTTTCATTTCCTGAATTTGGGCTTTTTTTTCATTCCTCTCCTCTCGATCTCTGCCTTCTTTCTCTGCTGCTAGGTCTGGGAACCGCTCCAGTTTGGTCTTTTCTAATCGGTTCAGGATCTCATTCACTTTCTTCTCCACTGTTACAATTTTTACCTTGGGGAGAGATAGGGATGCGTGAATCTTTTTGTTTTTGTTTTTTCTCCCAGCAGAGGGGCAAGGCTTTCCAGGGGGTTATCAGCTCACTTTAGCTACCCCAGGAAGCATTACTGATGCTCAGCCCTCAGCGACAGTGGTGTCGGGACAGAACAGGTGGGGAGCCCTCACACCAGGACTCGTCTCCTGCACGACACTTACATCCTTCTGCCTGTGAAAGCCTATCTGCCCCACATCCATGTCAGCTGTCTTCTTCAGGTTCGACCACGGTGTGTACACCACACTAACGTTGTTCATCTTGCAGCCTGCCGAGAGAGAGGCTGTCTTCAACACACGGGCAGGGGGAAACTGCATGCCCCCCTCACCCCAACAAAGTCATCCAGCCCAGGAAGCCAAGCTTACTACTGTTCACAGCACCTGATGCTTTTCAAAAATCACCTCAAAAGGCAAATGGTGAAGTTCACATTAAACAAAACATAGACAGTTGGGCGTGGTGCACGCCTGTAATCCCAGCACTCAGGAGGCGGAGGCAAGGATCACTGTGAGTTCGAGGCCAGCCTGGGCTACTAGTGAGTTCCAGGTCAGTCTCAACTACATAGTGAGACCCAGTCTCAAAATAAATAAATAAATAAATTAATTAATTAATTATTTAAAAAAACAAAGCTTAGACAACATAATATGATGGAAAGCAAGGGTGTGGGGATTAGCTTCAGGGACTTCCAAGAATTTCCTAAAATTGAATCTAAAATGTAATCATGTGTGTGTGTGTGTGTGTGTGTGTGTGTGTGTGTGTGTGTGTGTGTTTTAAAGGACCAAATAAGGTTCCTGTTTTCTTAAAGGAGTCCCTAGATCAGCATAAGTCAAGCGGCAATACAGTGAGGGGTTCTGGAGATCAGGACTATATTCCGGCTCTATGACAAAGCTGCTGTGGCCCCTTAAGACCTCAGGGCTCCCTGAATCCTATATGAACTATGAAGCAATGGGATTAGGTTAGTAGGATTTTGCTTATTGCTGTTTTTTCAGTAGCAGAATCCTTTTTACCAAAGAAAGCAGGACCAGAGGTGTAGCTCAATAGCACCATACCTGCCTGGCAAGCACAAGGTCCTGAGTTCGATCCCTGGTACCACAAAAACAAAACAAACAACAACAACAACAACAAAAAACAAAGTAAAAATGCTCATTGAAGCAGGGCTGCTCTGGAAGAGAGGTGCCAGGAGCCTTCTCACTCCACTCCTCCCTGCCCCTCCACCTCGCCCACGGCTGGCCCTTTACCACCCTCCCAACCCCCCAGAGCAGCTCTGAGAAGCACAGGAAAATGGTCGGTCTGATGCTCCCTACTGCCTTTCCACATTAGATGGCTATAAACTAAAGTTCACATCCTTGCATACACTACAGAAAACTAGCAAGACCCATCTTACTGCGGATCAAAGGGAAGTCCCTACTAAAGGAACAAAATGACACCATGTGCCTCCTAAATGGAAAGGGAGAAATGTCGCTTACGTACTACTACTGCTCAAAAATGTATACGTGATTCTAGTTAAGAAGATGCACCAGCAAAATCCAAATCATGGGCAACGCTACAGCTGGTCCAGTCTTTAAAAGTCAATGTCCTTTGAAGATTGGTCTTCTGTTGCTCTAATGACTATTTTGTAAAAGACTTCCTAGTATACAAGACGCAATTGTTTCTAACTGTATATAGCTGCCAATTAGTTTTTGTTTTTACTTTGTCCTTTGTTATGTGTTATGACTCAGTGTGGATTTGTGTTTATATACAAATTTTATTTGTATGATTTCATGTTAAACCCCAAATAAATGCTTCCTTATGTGAAAAAAAAAAATTAAAAGTCAATGTCCTAACAGACAAAGGCAGCATGTACAGATAGTGGAGACCAAAGAGCTGGGACAGGAAAATCTACTGCACCATCCTACAACAGAAAAAATGCTATAAAGGCACTAGGACAGCGGTAAAACTTACATTTGGACTGTGTGTCAGGTAACAGTATTCTATTTATGCTAAATTCCTGAATCTGATCATTGTAATACAGTTGACCCTTAACTTATGAATGACTGGTATCTGAGGGCTAGCTGTAACTCAAGTTGGTTGTAAGTCAATACAGACAAGATCGGGCGTGTTCGGGGTGGTATGGCTGAAGACAGTTTTAAGTGAATACATCTGGGATCTGGATGTTTTCCTGGGAACACGGTATAGACAACAAGAGGCAGATGAATCTTCCGTTAACCTAATTAACCTGAGCTGTTTGTATGTCAGGCCAGTTGTAACTCAAGGGTGCACTGTAGTTCTTTAAGACAAGTCTTGGTTCTGTAAAAGACAGTTGTGGAAGGGTCACAGTAGCTACAATTTTCCTTCAAATGCCTCAGGGAATAAAGTTAATGAGTATGATATTTTTAGAAAGCAAAGAAATCTGAAAAATTTAAAAAGTGGTAAATCTAAATGAAGGGCATATGTGAACTGTAATTTTTTGCAACTTTCTTGTAGTTTAAAAGGTTTTTTTTTCAGAACAAAAACGTTTTTCTAAAACAAATATCCAGGTGCCAAGTGCTAGGAGAGAGCCAACCTGACCTACTTTCCAAGACTCTACAGGATGGGACAAGTACACAAGTCACTTCCATAAAAGGAGAAGGTGGCGTGGGGCGTCGGGAGACACAGGCGAAGTGCCGTGTGGCTCAGAGATGGCCAGGACCACTCCAAAGTGGGGGAGGGAAGGGCCCCAGACACTCAGACAGAAGACTGGGGTCGGGCGGCTCGCTTCAAATCCAGCCTCTACTGTACTGCAGAGCCCAGAGACCTCAGGCAATTTCCTTCATCCTCTTTAAGCTCAGTCAATAGAACGAAAATAATGACATCTAATTCAACAGGGGCGATGACTGGTCTGCAAAGCCAGGCAACCCATCAGTGTCAGAAATGACCACTCCTACCGCTACTGCCACATGGACCTGGGGCTTTAGCTTGGGTACACTCACATGATGACAAGGGCGACACAACTGGGGGCAGAAGGTTAGGCAGGGAAGGAAGGTAAAAGGTTGGAACACAGTAAATATTGGTGTGGCTGGAGTGTGAAACACCTGAAGACAGAATCTATAGCCAGATCAGAGATGCTTCACAGATGCCAATTTGAGGCGTCTGCACTGAACTTTATAGGCAAAGGAGGTCAGACATTTTCCAGGCTTCTGATGTGTAGTCTGATGAGACTCACCAGGTGCCACGGAGCAGGCTGCCTATGATTCCAGGCCCAGAACCCAGAACAGGCTGAGTCTACAAGTGTAATCCCCACACCCTCAGTGCTAGGCAGGGAGAGTGATCACCAGGCAGGGACATTCTGAACTCCACGTGTCGCAAGTGGCGGGTCCTCTGCGACCTCCTGGCAACAGCATCTTCTTCACCCTCAGCAGCACCCTCTGCCACTGACTCATGAAAGCAGACTCCAGGGCTTGGCTCCTTACTCTGTAGGCAGCCTGAACTGCGGAAAGCTGAGCAGGAGACAGGAGCGGAGATGGAAGAGGAGTTCAGTCTCCTAGCACTCCCTCCTCTTTCGGTTTGCTCTAGGACTAGTCCACCACGGAGACATTAAGAAGAAGGGGCTGATGAAGAATAAGGGGTGCACTGTTGTTCCAACACAGGTGCGTCTGTGAGCCAGGGGCATGGAAGGGGCTGGGTGCATGGAGGAGACTGGACCACAGAACAGACTGCTTCTATTTCTATTCCAGTAGCTGAAGATCTTAATTGCAGATCTCAGAAAATCCCATCCTATTCATAAAATGTGATACCCTAAAACTCGTTACAATTTGTTGATTTACAGAGTTGAAAATCAGCGGCTCCATAAGACAAGATTCCTACCTTCTTCGATGAAGTACTGGATTCATGACTAAGCCGGCATGAGCTTGTACTCAAGAAATACAGGCTGAGTGCCAGGGGAAGGGGGCTCCTGCCCCATGGGTATTCTCTCTCCAAATCGTATTTCTTTACAACAATCCTGTATCATCCTTCAACTGCAGATCAAACCAAAACTACCTCCACCCTAGCTAAGTCTATGTCCTGTGTCTAAATCATTCCTAGCAGGCCACTGCCCCCAAGCTGCCCTTTGTAATTGCCACCCTCACCCAACAATCATCCTTTGCCCTTACTGACTTTAGGTTAAATCTCATATACTAGAAATGAATAAGCATCAGCATAGCAGAAAGAAGTGCACACACAGACCCACTATCCTCAACCCACACTGCACATAAGAATCGCCTAGAACATTTTTTAAAAAAATAATGATACTCAAGGATTATGCCAGATAAGCTAAATAAGATCTCTGGGGAGGAAGGACAACATGATCAATTGACTTTGTAGCTTCACAACTTAAAGGAAGAAAAGAAATAGGAGAAGGAGGACAGAAAGAAAGAAAAAGTAGAAAAAAAATATGATTTAGAGACTCTAGTTCCAGAATCTAATGATAAATGATGGAAATAAAAACACTAGCATTGAAAATAAAGCTATGAGACATCTCTTACTTAGCTAGCAACATTATCAAATTTCTAAAAGTTGTTTACATAACCGTAAGTTTAGGCACACCTAGGTGATTCTATTCAAGGTAAGGAAAACAGTAAAACAAAGAGCCCACACTGACAGGATACTGGAGTCAGAGGTGGGAGATTAGCTTGGAGTTCTTTGGTAGCAGAACTGTCATCTGCTGTAGAGATACAATCTGCCATGCGTTTGACGAAAGCCAGTCAAGAGCACTCTGTAAAATGCAAGCCATTTCAGACATAAAGTCAGCGCTGATTCTGAGAGCACCTCTAGGAAACTGACCTTGAATGCTATTGGCCTTCACAAGCTGGGCACAGTCCACCAGAACTTCCTTGGGAATGTCTTCTATCTTCTCTCCCTGAAACACAAAAATACACTGAAAAGGTCTGTGACCTTGTGACCGGTCACCACGGGGCGCTGAGAGGGCACCTGCAGCCCTACTGCACGCAGCAGGCAGCGGCTCTGCAATTCTATCACAGACCACTGAAAAGTCAGTCAGGTCAGTTCGCTGTGTCCCCCAGGCGATGTTTATTTAAACTCAGGGAGGCCGAGTGCACAGAGTATACCAAGCATTACACTCGGTATAAAACATTCTGTGATTTCAATATTAACTGTAATTGTGTCTGAGTAACCCTTGCACTCTCTTCTCATCCTTACTTTTGGAGACCGGATGGGGAAATGGTGCCTATCTCTGACAACCGGATTTCTTCCTAGCTGAGTCTCTGTGGGACGACTCAGGGTGCTGGGTGTGGAACCTCAGCAGTAATCCGGGACAAGGTTCTCGGGTTAGATCTCAGCCATCCACCATGAGGAAGACAGAACACAAAGATGGCATTGATCCTTTTTCTCTACAGAAATCTGCTAAAGATCAGTAAGCAAAAGCGAGTGGAAATCAGTTCAGAACTGGCTCCTACTAGGACAGGATTACAGAAATGCGTATCTGAGAAAGAATTTTCCCCTTAATGGCTGAGATAAATTAAGTTTATTCTACTATGTTTCTACAACTTTTTACATTAAAAAAAATTTTTTTTTGTGGTGTTAGGGATAGAAATCAGGGTCTCACATGATATTCAAGCACTCTGCTACTGAGCTACGTCCCTCTATCCTGGGCACAACATTTTACATGTTTTAAATGGGAATCTCTCAAATACATACATTTTGACCAAAAGGGGGGTGGGTGGGATCTGAGTTCATCAGTAAAGAAATTTCCTAGATTATTTAAATAGAGGATTCTGAATTTAACATCTTAACACAATGCCATCATTACGAACATCCAAGACAGCAAATTGGCTTAGATTACTGTCAGTGATAAAATACAGAAAAAGTGACTGATCCTGTATTACTAAGAAAAGAAAGACAACTATCACTTTCTGACTACCTATATGTGAGGTAGAGTAAGCTGCCATACAGAATAGACTAGAGATCCTCACTGCACCCAAGAGCTGTGGCTTGGTGAACGGAAGGAACCAGGCCGAGGTCCCCATACCTAGTAAGTGACAGAGCTGAGAGATGACCCAGGCTTCATGCCACGCTCTCACACGGCCCTGGACCTTGGTGCCTATGCAGCTCTTGCAGCATGGTACAGCTGACATCCACGTCCCCAATTTCTCCTTACCTGCTGTGGCTGTCACTTTTCCTACAGCGATCTCTCCTTCCTGATTTGCTATTTCCAATATAATATGAGCAGACCAAAAAAAAAAGACACACATAAAACTAAAAACCCACCCAGCTTGGTGTTTTGCACTGAGTCAGAGGAATTTCACTCTAAGGGACCCTCAGTAAATGAAGACCTGGATTCTGTTGATGGGCTTTGTGCCACCGTATGCTGACAGAACAGGAAACCTGTGGATAGTTAAGATTTTTCCATGGATTAAAAAAATAAATAAAAATAAAAAACATAGGAAAGAATACCACTGAATGTCTATAACCTTCAAGGTTTGGGCTGGATTCAACCAAAAACAACACATACACACAGTGCTCAGTACACACCACACATTATTGTAAGTGCTTTAAGGTATGCTGCATGCCTTTAATCCCAGCACCACGGGAGGCTGAAGCAGGACGACTTCAAGCTGGAGTTCCATCTGAGCAACTCGGTGAACCAGTCTCAAATGAAACGAAAGGAGTAAGTAGCACAGCATCCCTAGTCCTCGCAGCGACCCAGTGATAAGGAACTGGACTATTCTACAGAGCAAACAGGCACAGGTAAGTAGCACGCAAGGTCGCACAGCTAATGAGGATCACAGCCAGGACTGAAGTCCAGCAGTCTGGCTGGCACCGCTTCGTCAGGCTGCATCTCCGACACTTAGTTGGCGTCTACCAAGTACAAGGCTAATCTGTTTACTGCGCAGATAGATCCAGCAGGTAAAAGTCCCGAACGGCACACTCTTCCTACCTGTGCAAATCACAGGCTTCCAGGAGACTGGAACTGGCGTCTACTCCAGCAATTAATTCCCGCGTAATTTGAGCTTGCAGCAGCCCCCGGTCAATCTGACACTCCAGAACCCCACTGAAAAGAAATCTCTGCCAAAGGCGCCCGGTCACACCCTTGCACCCCGCTTTATCTTCTCTAAATTCAACGGGTGCAAAATGGCCGCGACAGGTTGCCTAGGACAATGCGGAAATTGGCTCCAGCGCAGAGCTCAGAGCCCTCCTTTCTTCACAGCGTCGTCCTCAGAAATATCTCCAACACAGCCGAGGATGGGCCACACGTCTAACCTTGAGAGTAAACCAAGTTCATATTCTAGTCATAGTGAAGTCGCCCTAGGTATTTATGAAAATTGTTTTTAAGTTTTACAACTAAAAACTTTGGAAAACTGAGGAGACAGCAAATAGCAGTTTGAACTAACACAACATTCTTGAGGGCAATCTGACAAATAAGGGTTCCTAAATGATACACATCTTCTGACGCAGTAATTAATCCACAGCGGGGCACAGTGGCACACTTCTGTCTGCAGTCCCAGCTACTTAGGAGGCTGAGGCAGGAGGATCATTTGAGCCAAGAAGTTTGAGACCAGCCTGGACAATATAGCGAGACTCCACCTCAAGGAACAAAACGTACAAATGAAAAAGAATGTCTTGTTGGGGATTCATATACTGAAGCTATAAACCTACATTCTGATAAGGGAGCTTTCACTTTTGTTTGTTTGTGTTTGTTTTGAGAGGGTCATTCTTTATTTTATTTTTTTTGGTACCAGAGATTGAACTCAGGACCTTGCATTTGTGAGGCAGGCAGCAGAACCAGCGAGCTAAATCCCCGGCCCCAGGTCATTCATTTTTGTTTTTTGGTAGCAAGGATAAAACACAGAACCTTACGCTTGTGAGGAAGGCAGCAGAACCACTGAGCTAAATAAATCCCTGGCCCTGGGGTCATTGATTTTTGTTGTTTGTTTTTCTCTTTTGAGAAGGGCTCACTGTATAGGGGAGGCTGGCCTCAAACTCGGGGCAATCCTCCTGCATTGGCCTCCCAAGTGCTGGGATTACAGGCATTCACCACCACACCTGGCTTGGGAGTTTTTATATCAACTGTGGCACATCATCAGCTCGCTGAAGCCAACCAATGTAATCCATATGAAACTAATACAGCAATATGAAAAATCTATAAATGTCACTTTAAAAAGTAATAACATCGATCAGGGGCTCTCAGGATGGATGCAGACAGAGACAGAGTCTAGCTGCATTACAACTGTAGGATATCACATCACTAAAAGAAAGGGTTGGGGGGAAAAGCAACTCATGTGTAACTTGGAAAATAATGCTTTGATTAGAAACCACAAAACAAGCAACTGCACAACCACACTGTCCAGCTGACAGTGTTTCTCATGGGCTATCGGTTAGCAATTCAGAAGCCCCACATATACTAGAGTCAAATAAATAAATGGAAGGTGGATGCGGGAAGCCAAGGGATGCTGGGAAAAGGCTAGAATGAGCCTTGAAACGGAATGGAGCCAGAGACACCAACAGGAGCACATGTGTAGCTTAATAAAGGCCCACATAAAGAGCTGTCAAAACTACTGTAGCTATGAATATATGTAGAAGAGTCAGTGTAGATATGAAGTGTGATTGAAAAATAAAGTAATAAGTTTAAATTTTTAAAAAAATGTATTATGGGGCTGGGGATTTAGCTCAGTGGTTCTGCCACCTGCTTGGCAAGCTTAAGATCCCGAGTTTGAGCCCTGGTACCAAAAAAAAAAAAGTATTACAGTAAAAGACACATTACCATGGATTCCTCTCAAAAATAGTCCCCTCACTGTGGATGCTTATCTTATTGTTCCCATCACTTGCTGAAGCAGTTCTGAAGTCTTCTTGTGTAAGAGTCTTTGTTGCACTGCTGTGGCTGCCTTAATGTCCTGATATGATTCAAAACATAGAACTCTCAAGGTCATTTTGACTTTGGGGAAGAGCCAGAGGGCACACAGTGGCAGACCCAGTGAGCAGGTTGGATGAGGACACCCGCACTGTTTTCACAGAAATTGCATAAAGAGTTGCTCGATGAGGTGTATTAAAAACTGTGCTTTCACTGTCAGGTGTCACCCGAGAGCAGCATTCACCTTCTTTTTGGTCATGGCTCATAAAGACAGTCACGGAAAAGGACCTGCAGAACTGCTTCAGAAGAGGACAAGAGTGACGGGAGAAGAATGTTCAAAGCAAAGGGCACGGGGCAGGACTTTGGGGGGTTCATGGCAGTATGTGTCTTATTGTAATAAAGTTTTAAAAATTTAAGCATCCTATTTTTCGGTCATACCTTTTATGTATGTGAGTTGAGTTATCCCTTATCTAAAATGCGTTTCAATTTTGTTGAATTTGGGAATATTTGCACATACACGAGCTATCTTGAGGATGGGACCCAAGTCTAAACACAAAATTTATTGTCTCATACACTCCTTACACATGTAGCCTGGAGAAGATTTAGAGCCTATTTTCAGTGCCTCTGCATTCTGACTGACTTGGGATATGAGTTAGAGGTTGCATTTTCTACCTGTGGTGTCTTGTTGGTGCTCACAGTATTTGGATTCTGGAGCACTTCAGATTTGGGGCTTTCAGGATACAGTGCTCAATTGTGTTTCCAGCTCTGTCAGCTGAGGGGGCCTAGAAGCAATGATACTCAAGTAGTAACAGGTACACCCAGGATCCAGATTTTTATTTTAAAATACCATTCACCAAGAAAATAAACCAGGGTCCTTGGAGAAACGGCTGATTCCAGAGCTGGGGCGGGAAAAACATAAGATGCACCTGAAGTACTCTGTAGTATCAGAGGGTGAGGCTATGTGCAAAAATCAAAGAATGAGCAGCAGAGAAACACAGGAGCCAGGCTGCAACAGCACAGGCAACAAACAACTCAGTACTGGAACACAACACAAGGTATCAAATACACACGAGTTCACAGTGACGCAACAAGTGACTGAATAATAAACGGGTCAGGAAACAAATCTTCCTCTCTTCCTCGGGAAGAATTCCAAACAGTATCTACACAGGTTCCCCACTTCAGAGTGGGGCTCAATTCCACCACCTGCCGCCCTTGAACAGGGGCGAGACTTAGAGCCCGGCTTCCAAATAACCAAGTCTAGAAAGGGGAGGAAAGGCAGCTTCACAGAGGAGAAACCTGGGGGGATCAGCACTGCCGACTCACAAATACACACACCCTCTGATCTGACTCCCTCTGGAAGCGCTCTTCTCCCTAAACCCATCACCTTGGTCTCCCGTGGGAAAGAATCAATGCTTCTAAACGGTGATGTTCTGTAAGATCACTGGTCCAACTGTCCAGGTCATGAGAGACAGGAAGAGTGAGAAGCTGTCAAAGGGCAGACATAGGACTGGGGATTGAGCTCAGTGGTACTGCGCCTGCCTCGAAAGCACAGGTCCTGAGTTTGACTCCCAGTACCAAACCAAACCAAATAAAACAAAATGAACGAACAAACAAACAAAAAAAGAGGGCAGGCATGACAACCAAACACAATGAGGTACTCTAGACTGGGTCCTGGGAAAGAAGGACATTAATGGAAAAACCACTAAAATGCAAGTAAGTCTGGAGTTTAGTTAATACACCAAGGTTAGTTCTTAGTTTTGACAAATCTGGCATGGTAAAAGAATAAGTTAACAATGGAGGAAACTATATGGGAACTCTGTGCTACCTTTGCAACTTTTCTGTAAACCTAAAATTATTCCAAAATAAAAAGTTTACTTAAAATTAAAAAGTAGTGGCTGGGTATGGTGCTGCATGTTATCATTTCAGAACTTTGGGAGGCTGAGGCAGGAGGATCACAAGCTTGAGCTTACCCTGGACAATCTAAGTGACTTAGTGAGGCCCTTTCTCAACTACAAGAAAAAGGAGGGAGGAAACACTGGAGTTACAGTTCAGTGTGAGGGCCTTAGTTTCAATCCCCAGGACTACCAAAACACATGCACAAGAAAATACATAAATATACATATATACATGTGTGTGTGTATATATATGTATCCCACATGTAGGCTATGATTCAACTATCAAAAATATACACATAAAGACCTACAGGAAAAAGAGTGGTAATGTGTTAGAGGGAGCATTACATCTGTTTCTCTTTACTAATTAGCCTCCAATTTTACACTGCCTGAAGAAGCCCCAATATAGTAACTGGGAACATCTGCCCTCAGTGAGGCAGGAGAATCATAGGAGCCAGAGCAACAGGAGCCACTGGAGAGGAGAGAGAGTCTGCAGTGTCACCTGGATTTCAAGGGACAGAAAGCAAAGGAGAAGACAACACACCCAACTGGCAGGGCGTGGAGAGCTCCTTCTGCCTAGAAGACAGGTATTCCTGCCCCTCCTAAGACTCAGAAATGGCCCAGAATGTTCCATAATGATTTTCTGGTCAGGGAGAAGACGTCTCTTCATTTAATAACTTTTACCCTTTTGATTGTATTTACTTGAAGCGATTTAATTTCAGAAAAAGTGCAGGCTGTGCAGCTCATCATTAAAGAAAAAATCATCAATCTGTTTCTTTCTTTTTGTACCAGGGATTGAACTCAGGCCCTTGTGCTTATGAGGCAGGTGCTGGAACCACTGAGCTAAATCCCCAGCCCCATCAATCTGTTTTTAAATGCAGTTACCTTATGCAATCGAAGGTATACATGAGCCGAAGAGATTTTGTCCACATGGAACCTACAAAGGAGGAAAACCATTTTCAGCAAGAGGAATATGACTACCGTGCCCTTGGCCCCTGGCATATGAAGCACCACATTCTGCAAAGCATGCACCCAGGGTCGTTTGCCTGGGCCTCCCCCAGCTGGGGATCATGGGGTGCAGCAAACAGTCACTGCCTCTTGCTGGCAACCAGAGCTGCAAGATCAACACCAAGAGTCATGCAGCTGTGATTAAGCACCAACATGAGCACTGCTAAATATGAAATACCCCGAGAGGGTGATTTTTCAAGAGATACAAAGAGCTACCTGGGCCCAAAGGCTTTACAGAAGAACTGGGATTTGGCTGGCTCCTCATGGAAACACAGGGCGGAGCAGAAACATAGGGAAAGGAATCCAGGTGAGAAGAGAAGTTCATGAAAGAAGTCAGCAGGATACCATGGCTGCCCACCTGGGAAGTTTATAGACCACAGGTGGGAGAAAACACGGGGGTTTTGCTTGGGACATCTTGAGCTCTGAGCAATGGCAAAACAACCAAGGGCCAATGTCAAGTTCAGATTTGGAAAAGTTAGCTGAGGTCCCAGGTCACCAAGCAGAATACATCATTAAACGGTCAGACTAAAGACATACCCAGCCCCACACGTAACCTGTCTGCTGGGTGGACACACCCCTTTATGACACAAACCAAGAAACATTCAGAATTCCTTGTGGCTTAAATTTACCTTTCATTAGGCTCCATCATCATCAACTTGATCAAATCTTCTATAATGGATGTGGCATTTTGGAATATTATGTTTTTCACTTTTACAGTAGCTCACCCAACGAAGGTGACTTTCTCTTTTTGCCTCCAAAATGCTCGTATTGAACAAGGAACAAGGTAACAGAAAGTGAACTTTATGATTCTTATAATCCTTACTTTTCCAGACTAAGAATGCTCTGTAAAACCCAAGGAGGCACTGTTATATCCCGCTGTATGTCTTGTTAGACATTTTCTCAACATTCATGTATTTTTTTAGACATGGAAGTGGTCACACATTCATTCCTTACAAAACAGAGACCAGCATGGCTCAACATAAAGGATAAGGATGTGTTGTTTCCAATCCCCTCTTTGGAGAGATTAAATATTTTGCTATTCATTTTGGATATGGAGTATCAGGCATTTTCTGTTAACAGTCAATGTCAACTGTAGGCTTTATTTTTAATCCTCACTGATAGCCAGAAATGGCCATTACATCATATCTGGTTCATGTTGTTCCAAGTTGGCCATTTACCCATTTGTGTTCACACATAAGAGATTCATACTTGAGCTGGGCAAGGTTCCATCCCGGAAAAACATCTATTTTTTGCAAATGTGGAAATTATATACTTCACCATTCTCTCTCAGATTCTTAGGAAGATACCACACTACTAACCAAGCTCAATTTTCTCCTACTCTGACTTTTACTTGCTTTAAGCTAGCTTTCTACTTGCAATTCTTTCCTGTAGGCCCATAGTACCTAGGTTGTATTCTAATTCATATTCAAGGTTTCTGATGTGGAATTTTGTCAAAGTAAATACCTAAATAATTCAATATATAGCTAATAAATTCATGCATAAGACCTAGGTGTGATGGCACATGCCAGTAATCACAGTTCTCTGGAGGCTGAGGCAGGACCGAAGGTCAAGCCTACCCTGGATGACCTACTCACTTGCTGAAATCCTGTCCCAGAATAAAACACAAAAAGGGTTGGGGATGCAGCTCAGTGCAGAGGCTATGCAATACAGAAAAACCAAATTCATACCTAAGTAATTAAAGTACCCAAATACAGGGGTATCCTGGGCAGTACACACCAGCTTCAGGTATGTGTATAGTCCGCACACCTCTCTCTCTACAAAGGGAAGAAGAATAGAAACAACTATGGGGGTTTGGTTGAAATGATAATAAACAAAACCAAACAAACAACCTCAGCTCTACAAACAAACCATTTTGAGTAAGTTTCCTTAAAAAAAAACCAAAACAACAACAACACAAAAAAAACCTTCCTATGTCTCCCAAAATGCTTATTTCAAAGTTTAAATTATTGACCTTGTTGTGTTCTCTCCCTGTTATACTTTACTGAGTACAAAGACTAAAACTGTCACTAAAAGGGCGCTGAATACCTAAGGCCCAGAACTTGGTTCTTGAAACCCTTAGAGTAGGGTCTGTGAGGATAATATGCACACTGATTCTATTTCCCTCACTTAACAATTAATTTGGTGCTCCTCTGTACTTAATGATAAGATAATTCTTTGCTTTAAAAGGTCTCAGGAAGCCAGGCATCCCAGTCTGTACCTCAGGCCTGTCATCCTAGCACTTGGGAGGCTGAAGCAGGAAGTTCGCCCAGAGTCTGAGGTCAGCCTGGGCTACAGGGAGAGACCTTGTTAAAAAAAATGTCCTGAGAGGTATTTGGAATAAACTGGGATGCTGGTGGTCACAGAGGTAAAATTTTAAAGATTACATTAGAGTAAAGCAGGTGAGAAATCTATCCTGGAATGCAGATTAACTGGGAACCATTCCCGGAGCCCCCTGGAAGACTGCCAGGGCTGACAGTTCACCAACTGGAACCAGCCTGGAGCACTAGGCCTCTTCCAGCTCACAGCAGTTCTCACATAACAGAGAATAAAGGCATTCGCGCCTGCCTAACCACTAATCTCCAGATTGTAAAGGGGTGTTAAAAAGAATCTCCGTGTGTCCATAAACCCAAACCTGCTAACTACCAACCTTAACACGATAAATAACTCAAGCAGCACTTCCTGAGTATGGGTTGTAAACGATAAGTTTTCCTTCTACTTATTTCAAAGGAAAGGTAGAAAGTTGTGGTGAACTGACTTTCCTGGTGCATGTGACAATAAAACCTGTCCTACACAAGTATTTATGTCTCAAAACAAATACATTTGAAAACACTCAGTGGGGGGCTGACAGGCATAGCTTTCTTAGCTCCCTGAGAGGATCTGGATGTCTACGGCTTTAGGGACACCCGAAGTACTCCAGCTGGGGCTCACGGGTGCTCAGAGGGAGGTAAGCAGAAAGAATCCCCAAGAAGAAACAACCAGTAAGGCTGATTCTCAGGAAGGATGCTAAGCCACTAGGAAGTAGAGAGCACATATGACACCTGCCAGGACCTGTGCTCAGGGCTGGGGATGGAGCAGCTGGCCCAGGTATGATCCCTGTCCGCAGAGCTCAGTCTAAGACTCGGAGGGAGCGGCGCACAGCTAGAAGCCCCTGAGTGTGAACTGCTGCAGTCTCCAGAAGACAGGACTCGCTCCTGGGATGGTCACGAGCCTCAGACAGGGCAGGTGGGAGCCAGAGGGGCTAGCACAACCCCATGCAGGGACAGTTTCAGTGAACCTCGGTGTGGTATTTCCCCATCAAAGGCTCAATGCTGTGTCCAGCTCACTGAAAAGACAATCAGCCCTTCTGAAGAGTGGCAGCCTGTAACTCCAGCTCTTGAGGGCATAAGGGTCTGAGCCCATGTGGAGGAACAGGTCTGGGAAGAGCTGCAGCAGTAGCCTGGGGGGAAGAAGGGAGTGACCTGAAGCCAAGAAGGGGCAGCCTGGGGAAAGAACACGGCAGTGACTCAGAGCCAGTGCAGTGCTCAGTTTCTCTTAGCTTCAGTTTCCTGATCTGAAAAATGGGTACAATAGTTGGGCATGGTGGTGCACACCTGTAATCCCAGTACTCAGGAGGCTGAATCAGGAGGACACGAGTTTGAGGCCAGCGTGGGCTACATAGTGAGCTTAGGGCCAGCCTGAACTACAAAGGGAGACCCAGTCTCAAAAAACCAAAAAAAAAAAAAGGAAAGAAAGAAAAAGAAGAAAAACAAATGGGCATGACATCAGTACTTATTTCCAGGGTGGGTGAGAAATGAAATGTATGAACAGAGGTAAACACTTGAAGTATTTGTCACACAGTTAAGTGCATAGACAATGTTCACTATTACTATCATTTCAGAGCGAACAGGATCTGAGTACTTAACTTCAGGCCAACACCTGGGAGAGGTGGGATGAGTTGGGGAGATGATCCCCCCTTGACAGGCAGCACTAGGCTCTGGGAGAGAGATTATGAAGGTCAGTGTCAGCAGCAGAAGCCAAAGATGGAAAAAGAAATCAACCAAGTGCAAGAGGATGGAGACAGGAACAGAAAGTCACTGGGGCCATTCCTGCTGCAGACAGCCTGGCTCTAAACTAAGGCGAAGGAGTCGTTTGTTGTATTTTGGGCTGGGTTTGGTAAGCAAAACAAATCAGCTTGGAGGAAAGATAAGAAGGATGCATTATGATTGTTTAAATGGTTTCCCTAAATCCTTTTAGAAAGGAGGCAGGGGGTTGGAGCAAGAGTGGCCTGAGCCAAAGTATGGTGGCCCCGGTGACTCCACCAGAGACCAACAGGCAGTCAGAGGACATTGTTCTGGAAGGCTTTGTTCTCAGGCCTGCAGTCAAACCTAAAACATTACCGCCAGCTTGCATGGTAATTACACATGAAGGCAACGGGCAGGCAGTGTCTACACCTAAACACCTATAAACAAGAGCGCATGGTACCAGATCCAGTTTTAATCACAGGAATCAGGTTGTTGCTGACTCTAAGAAAGTTAATGATGATCCACAGGAGGCAGAATCCAAACTGTTACTTACCAAATATCTTCAGGCCAGCCGTACTTTATCAGATCTTCATCTACAGTAAAATACAAGAGAACACAAAAAGGCTAAGAAAAACTGTCAAATGAAGATATGCCAGGTCTACAAGCGGGAAGGGGAGAAGTATCAACCCCGCCCACAGCTTCTTCCCTCCCTTACCAGAGAAGACAGTAAGTTCTAGAGGCTTTGAAGCTTGAAAATGCAGAAAAGTAAAACAACTTCTATAACTGCAGGATATAAACTGTAGAATCTGAATACTCCTAACCCAAAGAGATTCCTGTTTGAAGACAATGAAAAATCAGCAGCTGAGTAGTCAGATAACATCTCAGAAAATTCACTCACTGCAGTCATACTGAGTGTTATAATGGTTTTGTCAAGACTCTGAATAATGGATTGCATTTTAATGTGAGAAAAAAACCTCGGTTATATAAATATACAAAACTAGGAATAAAATAAACACCAGAGGAATAAGAAGAAAATAAAAATCTAAAATTCTATCACATGTGGGAATCAAAATACAGAAGAAACAAGTAAACGAATGAAAAGCATTTTAGGAAGCGAGGAGAGGAACACAGAATGGGAAGGATGGGAGGAACTGATGTTTTTATCATAAGCATTAGATTATGATGCAACTTCTTAAACTATGTGGTGGATAAAAGGAAAACTTTTAAACTGGGTGTGGTGGCACATGCCTGTAATCCCAGCAATCTGGGTGGCTGAGGCAGGAAGACTTGAGGAAGAAAGCTTGAGCCAGGCATGGGCAACTAGGAATTTAGTAAGACCCTGTCTCTAAATAAAAAGTAAAAACGGTCTGGAGATATCATGCCTGTAATCCCAGCAATCTGGGTGGCTGAGGCAGGAAGACTTGAGGAAGAAAGCTTGAGCGACAGGCATGGGCAACTAGGAATTTAGTAAGACCCTGCCTCTAAATAAAAAGTAAAAACGGTCTGGAGATGTAGCTCAGTGTGAAGGCCCTGGTTCAATTCCCAGTACCAATAAGTAAAATAAAATAAAACACTAAAACTTCTTTGGAAGCAATGATTAAAGAAAGGTTAGAAGAGTATATCCAGTAATAGCTGTGTTTAATAGAAGTATTTAAGTATCAAGCACCAATTTAAGAATTCTAAGGTACACACACACACGATGACTGGAATGAACCTGAGAAGAGGGGACGTAACTTGCACATGGTGGATGAAGGCACTCTTAGGGCTGCGGCCCCCTGAGCCCTCCCGGGCTCTCCACCAGCTTGGGCAGGAAGCTGTGCCCGTGGCCAACACACCCGAGGACAAGGAAGGGAAATCCAGAGGCCTCTTTCCCTCAGCACCTTTCCTTTTATTCTTTGTGGCTCCCTGGTGACACCTGCTGGCCAGGAGGGGAACAGGCCTGGGCGCCACCGGGTGAAGGTGAGACCCATTTCGGTTTCGCCCAGCTTCTCTGCGGGCCTCACCCGGGTGACCAGGCTATTAGAAATGAGCGCTATGCACGAGAAGTGATCCACCAGAAGTGCAGCACTCTCTCTTCCAAGGTGACCAGGACAGGCAGGCACCTCCAGTGACTCCAAAGGGCTCCGAGCCACCGCCACCCTCCTCCAAGGAAGGCTTCTCAGCTCTCAGCACCCCTCAACCGCGTCTCCCTTCTCCAGCTCCCCTACTTCAGCACCCCCGAGCACTGCCACTTTGTTCTGCCCACTTTCAAAACATGTTATTTTCAGGGCAGTTTTGGTTCCATAACGAAACCAACACAGTCTTCTTGTCAGTGAGTCCATCTGAGAAGGGAAAACCAGACCAGACCTTCAGGCATCTCACATAGGGTGCACGCAGCCCCATACAGAGAAGCTCGCAGCGAGTAAACTAACACAGGAGAAAGACGGTGGGAATGTCACTATCTCTGTCGGCACAGACATAGGCCAGTCCTTTATTATAAGGCATATACGTACACCCTTGCCTTCCAGAGTTGCACAGTGCAAAACCTGCACAACTGTACACAGCAGCTCGGTTGTAGGTGTTGCTCTGTAACAGAAGCCACACAGTAGAAAGCAAAGTAGGTTTGGTGAACACACGTGCATTTGTGTCTACTGTAGATAACCGAGGCTGCTCAGGAGAACAGAGAGATGGCACTGCCTCCTCCACGACATCAGGAGATGCAAGGAAAGTTAAAAAAATAAAAAAAACTGCAAATTTGAACCTAGCCTGGGCAAGTTAGTGACTTACAGACCTGTCATAAAACTTAAATAAATAAAAGAAAATGTAGCTTAGTGTGAAGGCCCTGGGTTGAATCCCCAGTAGTGGGGGGGGCAATGACCTCTGACAATTTGTGAGTTAATAGGAGAAACCTGAAACTCAAGTATTATTGTACTGCCGGCTAAAGTCAATGCCGTACATTCACGAGGAGGAAAAATTGTTTCTAAATATGAGTTACTGTATTTCGTTCTCTCGCTTTTCTCTCCGGCCAGGCTGCTTCTGTTTAATGGTAACCATTTTTGGCCTCGTTTGTTGGCTCCTGGCTTGTTCCTGCTGAAGAATGTGCCTGTGCCTCTCTCAGCAAGGAAGTCACCAGTCCAAACTGCTGTCCGTGCTCCTGAACAGACACGGAGGCAGAGGTGCCCATGCGGGAGGCAGGGGCAGGAGGGCAACCACAGCGGCGCTAATTTCCTCTTCCGATTCTCACCCTTAGCCTTTAACCCTTCAAGTTGGCCACTGTCATCTAAGAACCGTGAGGTTTAAAGTTGATTAAGAACTGTGCATTTTCCAGCAAGTTTAGTGTTGCTATTTTAATATTTAGATTTTTAATCCACTTGGATTTTAATCTAGTGCATGGTGAAAGATAAGGGTCTAGTTTTAATCTTTGGCAGGTTGAGATCCAGTTTTTCCAACACCATTTATTAAAGGGGCTGTCTTTCCTCCAGTGGGGACTGGCAGCTCCTTTGTCAAAGATGAGGTAGCTGAGTACATCTGGATTTATTTTTGTGTCTTCCAATCTGTTCCACTGATCCTCAGGTCTGTTTCTTTGCCAGTACCATGCTGTTTTAATCACAATGGCTTTGTAGCATAGTTTCAAATTGGAAATTGTTATACCCGCTGCCATGTCTCTGTTGCCTAGGACGGCTTTTGCTATTCTAGGTCTCTTATGGTTCCAAATGAATTTTTGGATTCTTTTTTATAGTTCTGTGAAATATAGTGTTGGAATTTCAATTGACATTGCATTGAATCTGTATAGCAGTTTTGGTAGTATGGCCATTTTCACTATGTTGATTCTTCCTACCCAGGAGCAGGGGATATCTTCCCATTTTCTTATATCCTCTTCGATCTCTTTTTTTCAGAGTGCTATAGTTTTCAGTGTAGAGGTCTTTTGCTTCTTTTGTTAGGTTGATTTCTAGATACTTCATTTTTTTGGATGCTATTGTGAAAGGAATTATTTCCCTAATTTCTCTCTCAGTGAGCCTGTTATTTGTGTACAAGAAGGCTACTGATTTTTGGGTGTTGACCTTGTATCCAGCTACTCTGCTAAAAGTGTCAATTAAGTCTAGAAGTCTTTTGGTGGAGTTTTTTGGGTCTTCAATGTAGATTATCATATCATCAGCAAATAATGACAGTTTAACTTCTTCCTTTCCTATCTTTATTGCTTTAATTTCTTTCTTTTGTCTAATTTCTATGGCTAATGTTTCCAGAACTATATCGAAGAGGAGTGGTGATACTGGGCATCTTTGTCTCGTTCCTGATTTTAACATGAAGGTTTTCAGATTTTGGCCATTTAATATGATCTTGGGCTGTTGGTTTTTCATAGATAGCCTTTATTAAGCTGAGATATAGACCATCTATTTCAATTTTTTGCAGGGTTTTTATCATGAATGGGTGTTGAATTTTGTCAAATGCTTTTTCTGCATCTATCGAGAGGATCATATGGTTTTTGTCCTTGACTCTGTTAATATAGTGTATTACATTTATTGACTTACATATGTTGATCCATCCTTGCATCCCTGGAATAAATCTGACTTGGTCAGGATGTATGATCTTCTTGATGATCCTCTGTATTCTGTTTGCTAGTATCTTATTAAGGATTTTTGCATCTATATTCATTAAGGAGATTGGCCTGTAGTTCTCTTTTTTAGTTACCCCATTTTGACCATTACATGACATATGCGTGTACTGAAATATGAAGTGTGCCCCATAAATATGTGCAATTATTACTTGTCAACTAAAAAATATAAAAGCAACTAAAATTAAAAAAAAAAAAAAAAAGAGAAGCTCATCCAACAAATCAGGGAGGGGGACAACACTTACCTGTTAGAAAGGTCAAAATCAAAAGCTTTTGAAAACTTACTTTCATATTTATCCTTTCCCATGTAAATGGTGTAAGTAGATGAATTAACTAAGACAAAACAAAAATTTAAAAAACAATTAGAAATGTCATCACTAAAATACTGGGTAAAACAAGTGACGAGTGCTTAGATTAGGGGTTGACAAATCATGGCACATCGGAAAAACCCACACACCTGTGTCTGGACGGCCTCAAGCAAACACTGATTTGCACATTTTTAATGGGTTGAAAACAAAGATGGAGCTATAGAGACTGTGTACAGCTCACAGGGCCTCAAATATTTACCATCTGGCCCAAGAAGAAAATGTTTGCCAGTTGTTCTTAAATGGTCACTTTGCTACTTTCTGAGAAATGAAGGTTGATGGAGATTTCCAGTTCATTCCTGAACCTTTGCCCTTTTCACAAGAAAAGAAAATCACAACCTGTATAATAGTCATTTTCATGTAACACCCATACTTAGCCAGCTCTTATTTTGCATATTTTTATTGCCCAACATCAGTTATATTTCAAGGGTGCTGTGAATTCTATGGGCTCCCCATTCTTCTACTCAGGGGAACCATGCCTCCGAGACTGCTTCAAAATCTGTGACTCTGAGCCTATTCGTGTGTTAGAATCAGCCTATTACGACCAAGCTCCACCCAGGACCAACTAAATCCAAATATGTACACATTTGTGTCTTTTAAAAGCCTGTCAAGTGATTCTAATGTGAAGTTGGGATAAGGAACCACTGTCCTAAATCCAACAGAATACTGTGGGAGTGCTCATCTTAAGAATGACATTTGTTTCCTGAGGAAGTGGGGTTCATATGGGCATTCTCATCTGGAATCAAAAAGTTAAGTTTCCTACAGAAATTATAACTGGATGCTGGGTTGCCAAGCTAGTCTATTAAAACTTGTTGGCTTCAACTGGATCCAAATTTGCGAATCAATACTATATTCAGTAGGCCAGTGATGGGGAACCTTTTAGAGCATTCAATGAAACAATGATACAAACAGCCTGCTGCAGCATGCTGCAGGTTCACCACCACTGCAGTAGGCCCTCTTGACAAAGCCTATGAGACAGGTACAGGGTGAGGCCCCAGCCAGCCCTGTAAGCAGTGCTGGGGAGGCTTCAGAGCAGCTATCTTTTATGTAAATCCCTAAATCAGGGACTGCCTGCACTTTCAGTAATAATCTTTCTTGCTGCCTTTCTTGAGGAGGGAAAACTCCAAATTCCTAGTTATGACTAGTCTGTAATTACTCCGGAGTAGCTGAGACGTGAAGGGGGCTGTCTGCAGTGACTAGCTAGCTGGAAGTGGGGCTGCTGGCCTTGACAAGTCTGGTGGAGGATTATCTGGATGAAGTCTCGGCCCAGCAGGTAACAAATGCCAGCACATGAACAGAACTAGGAAGTGCTTCAGGCTCTCTTTGCACAGCCTGGGAATATTTCACGCGACCACCCTTCCAATCCTATGCCACCAGTAGGAGTACATTCTACTGAAACACTCTCAAGCCACAGCTTGTTCTTTTCATCACTGAAACAACCATTAACAGAGACTGGTTGCATAAGTTAAAAAATAGCCATAAACGAAATGACAGGCACTCATTTTTTGAAAAAAGACAGGTGAAGAAATTAAATAGCAGAATAGTACAATGTTTCTGGCTATCTAGATCTATAGTAAAACTTAATGTATAGAAAAATAAATTATAAACTGGGTATGGCGGCACTCAGGAAGCTGAGGCAGGGAGGATTGTGAGTTCCAGACCAGCCTGGGCTCTATAGATTCCAAGCCAATCTGGACTACAGAGCAAAATTCCGTCTCAAAAAAATTAACAGAATAAGTGATTACATCATAGTATTTACATACACATTTTATACATATTTTGCTTGTATGTATGATATAATCAGTTAAACAATATTTACTTGGGTACCTTGCTTACAAAGTACATAGACTACTTTACTAATGGGAACAAAAGTTGTTTTTAAAGTAATTGAAATACAGTGTACTAATACAAAATTTAAAAATAAAAAGTATAAAAATAAAAATGTCATGAGTCGGGCCTAGGGGCACACACATGCTTGTAATGCAAGCACTTGGTAGACTGAGGCAGGAGGATTTCCAGTTTGGGTCAGCCTGAGCTACATAGCAAGACTTGTCTCAAGAAAAAGGGGGGGATTAAAGACAAAAATTGAGCCAACTGTTTCAGATGAAGAGGCCTAGGAGTAATGACAGCTGAATGTAACCATGATTTATAATTCTCTACGGTTATAAATAGATTAGGACACTGATGAAAACTGAAGAAAGTCTATTAATTAAATAGTTCTGTTGCAATGCTAATGTTGATTTCCTAAATTTGATAATGAATAATATCTTTTGATAATAGAAGACCCTTGATTTCAGCAAACAAATACTGAAGCACTGAGGGGTAAACTTTACAACTTATTAACAAATGGCTGGTGTGTGGGGGGATCTATGTACAGACAGTAACAGAAAAAGGGAAAGATAGATGGCAAAGCTGGTAAAATGTTACAATTTTTGGGTATTTGGAGAAAGGATATACAGGAAATTTTTACTATTTTGCATGTTTCTGAAAGACTGAAATGGTGTCAAAATAGTTCATTTTTCTGTTTATTTGTTTTTGTTTTTTGAAACAGGGTCTCACTCTGTAGTTTAGACTGACCTGGAACTCACTATGTAACCCAGGCTGGTCTCAAACTCACAGTGATCCTCCTGTCTCAGCCTCCCGAGTGCTGTGATTATAGGCCTGTGCCACCATGCCTGGCTTGGTGTCAAAATAGAAAATTATAAATAAAAAGGTATTTTGTGGGTTCAAAAGTCAGATGGTCTTGAATTGACAGTGGAAATACAGTGAAATGGATGCTGCATTATTTCATTATGAGAGTGTGGAAAGAATGGTAGTTGAGCAGATTTTAGCCAGGCCATTGTTTGAAAGGCAAGACCCCAGTAGCAAAAAAAGGCGGGGGGCAAAAGACTTTGTAAAGATACTGTCTTCCCATTTTTATGTAGTAAACCATCAGCTGGTTGAAAATTTGGCTATTCATAGCAACACATTTCTGAACATTTTATATGTTCACTTTTTCTTACTGCCAACTGTGAAGTTTTATTATGTTTTATTGAAAGTTAGAATTTTTCCAAATTGGCAATTTTAAAAGACCTGCTACATAAATGCAATTTTATTAAACTGAAAGGCCTAGTATGTCTCCAAAAGGTAGCAATTCTCACCTTAAAATGAAAGCCCATGGGAGAACAGGACCCACAGATTACTGAAACACTTGTCCAAGTAAGGGCATCTGTGCAAGCATGATTACCATGAAGAGAATTTAGGACACTTTTAAGGGGATTAAAGCTACTAACATGTTTATGCCTATATATCCTGCCTGTATTGTTTATTCTATGGGTCTGGGACAGTTATCTCTGTTGTTGGGGACTCCATGGGAGGAGAGGCTACAAATAGTATGATTATACTATAAAGTGAGCAGGAGGAGGAAACTGCTTAGGGGCCTGTAACACTGGAAAGGGTGTATAATTTTTCAAGCTAGTTTTCTTTTTTGTGAGTTTGAAATAATAATATGGGTTTTAAAAAAGCAACAATAAATCAAAGCCAAGCATGGTGGCGCATACCTGTAATCCTAGCTCTTGAGAATGGCTGAAAGTTCAAGACCAGCCTAAACTACACAGTGAGACTTTGCCGGGTGTGGTGGCACATGCCTGTAATCCCAGCACTCGGCTGAGGCAGGAGGATCGCTGTGAGTTGAGACCAGCACGGGCTACACAGTGAGTTCCAGGTCAGTCTCAACTACACAGTGAGACCCTGTCTCAAAAAACCAAA